AGAGAGAGAGAGAGAGAGAGAGAGAGAGAGAGAGAAGAGAGAGAGAGAGAGAGAGAGAGAGAGAGAGAGAGAGAAGAGAGAGAGAGAGAGAGAGAGAGAGAGAGAGAGAGAGAGAGAGAGAAAAGAGAAAAAAAGAAAGAGAGACAAAATAGAGATAAATAGAGAAAGATGGACGTTATCTTTACACAATGCATCAGCTGTAGGTGATTACCATCCATATCACACTGGAATAAAATTCAAATCTTTGTTTTTTTATTACATTTAATACACATCTGTATTTAGCACTAAATATGTTCAAATTCAAACTAAATTATATCACACATTGGAATATAATTTAATTCTTTGTTTTTTATTACATTTTATACACATGTGTATTTAGCACTAAATCTGTTCAAATTCAAACTAAATTAGTTTCACCCAGTGCTACTGATCAGTTCAACATGATGCACAAGGTATTCCATACTCAAAAATATATACTTTCCTTTAATTGTTATGTTTAAATTAGTACAATGCAAAAAAAGTTATATATATATCTGAAACAAAATTTCTTGGAGATTTTACCAATATTCCTTGAACTTGTGTTAGGCCACGTCACTCCTATATCTAAATCCAGTTTTTCACAATGGGAGATTGAGTACTTTGGTCTTATAGTATGAATACTAATGATGTAAAGGAATACTATGAGTGGTTCAGTAGAAATGAAATTCTCTTCATTGCTCAAGAGGGTATACATAATTAAACTTCCCTATATGCACAGTTGGAGGAATAATATGAAAGGGAGAGATGTAAAAAGCACAGATTTTGTGACAGCTATTGAAAGAATCTCTGGTCAACTGCCTGTGCATTTTCAATAATTTCAGTTCAGAAGTTCTCTAGACATATGTACTTCTAATAATACTAAAATAATCATTTAAAAACTCTAGGTAAACATCCATAGGTGGTACAAAAGCTCACACAAGTTCTGTAAAGTTGCTATTGATAACATGACAATCAAACTAATTTCGAATAGTACCTATGATTGGTATACATCATCATCCTTACATAATGCTTGAGGGTATAAAGCTTATACAGAAATATTACCATGTATTTTCTTAAATCTGAAATTCTATACCAAATTGAGGAAACTGGGTTATTGTTATTGATGCAATATACAAATAATGTTATATACATTTACATTCCTTCTATACCGGTAACAAATTGGCGGCATAAGTAATACAATAATACCGTTTCACATTAAAATATGGGTAAAGTTTCCAGACTCCTCAAAGTCAGGATATTACTAAATTGTAATAACTAACCTATGAATATTACGTATATGATTTCTAGTTAGCATTTAAAAATGAGAAAAGGTATACCCTTTTGGCTATATGAAATTGACATGGATAGGGGCCAAGTATTTAAACAGGAAATTATAGATATCCAATTAGAATAAATATACCTACCATTCAATATATAATATATATATATATATATATATATATATATATATATATATATATATATATATATATATATATATATATATATACATATATATATATATATATATATATATATATATATATATATATATATATAATATATATAATATATATATATATATATATATAATATATATATATATATATATATATATATATATATATATATATATTATATATATATATATATTATATATATATATATATATATATATATATATATATATATATATATATATATATATATATATATATATATATATATATATATATATATATATATATATATATATATATATATATATATATATATATATATATATATGTCCATTTTACTATTGTTTTCTGTACAGTATAATACAATTCTAAACATCATCATTTTTTAAAATAATTTACCTCGTTAGATATATAGATTTTTCACACTAGCTTGCATCAGCAGAATTTAAATTCTATATCATAAACACTATAACAGAATAAAACAGTCAATAATATTTTCCAATATATGGCCTCATATAAAACTTTTTGACAAAAATTTCCGTCTTATATGTTATCACTGTAATAGAGCAAAATTATAGGTAATAGTTTTTCTAACATCGTACTTACCCTTTCAGTGAAATTTCATGTAATTCTGTGTTTATGTGGTTGTGGCAGTGGTTGTGTATGTGTGGATGCCATGTACATTTGTTTGGATGTAAGTACATGTGTCTGTATGATAGAGTTGACTGTGTTTGGTTAATACATGCATATTGTAAGTACATGCAGAAAAAAGACAGACTTATGCATGTACTATTCATTTCCACATACATAAATACAAGCACACTTAATGTTTCCATTTTAAAAGTCCAGGACGATGCTTCATAATCTATGTAATATTTGCGCTTCTACCAAACAACCCTTTGTGTTTCTTCATGCTTCATTATATAAATTTCTTTCATTTCTTTTGAATATCACTCAATATTGGACATGTTTGCTAGAATCTGATAATGAAATGAATTACAAGTTTTACATGGCACAACTGCTATAGAGCTCAGACTAAACAGGATAATTGTCTGGTACAAGGAGAGCAACATCCTATAGATTTGGTATTCATTTGAGATGAAGAAGCACTAGGCTGTATATACTTTTTAAACACATGTGCACAGTAATTACGTGTCAATTCTGCTGCCACGAGCATAGAGAAGAGAGAGAGAGAGAGGAAAGAGAGAGAGAGAAGAGAGAGAGAGAGAGAGAGAGAGAGAGAGAGAGAGAGAGAGAGAGAGAGAGAGAGAGAGAGAGAGAGAGAGAGAGAGAGAGAGAGAGTTACCCATAAAAAAATGAAATAACAGAAAATGCACAAGTGCACAAAAGATAGGCATAGATTCACACATCATTTGCATACTAAACAAATAACTCTGCACACATGCATACATGCCCATACACACACACACATATATATGTACACATGCACACATGCATACATACATACACTGACACACATAGAGACACATGCACCAACCTATCCACCTACATGCCCCATCTATCCACCACCATCCATCCATTATTAGAATTTTCTGTTATGCCAAGACCTTGGGACCTTCTTGGAGGTCATGCTATTATGTTTGCCCTATTTTCACCATCACAATATTAAAAGACCTATTCTAATCTTTAGAGAAAACCATCAGAATTTTCCTTTAACAAAATTGCAATTTGACAAAATATAGGAGCACTAAAAATCAGTATCAGCAATGCCTGATCTGGCCTGATCCCTGTTCAGGCTGAAACTGAGGTCCATAATTATAGTTGATATGAGAAGCATATATCTCAATAATTATGATTTCCTCACTAATGTAAAGTGAATTTACTAGCACTGTACCTACTCTACCTGACACACAATAATTATGATGAAAAAGGAGGAATTCAGTGCTCTGAATATTTAAGTATTTTTGGAATACAAAGTATTCCCACTTTGTCATACCACTGTTGTGCCTGTTACTTTGTTCCTCACATGTTATCCACATACTGGAAACCTGATAATTGTCCTACATGATATATAAGTTTGCAGTGTTCTCAAGCCTTTAAATCAGATTTTTGAAAGAGAGCGGGTAGCTTATACGAGGCCCAAAACTGATAATAATGAAACGGAACCTTTTTTACATTATGGGTGTTCCTTGTGGTACGGATCTGAACCATCAGAGTACCTCTCCTTTGCTGTTGAGTTGCTCAGAAGAAAGTAGCATTATAATAAGTTATCATTTGAGATTATTTTATTGGACAACATTTTCCTATAAGGTGCTAGCAAAGGGTATATTATGTAAACTTCTTTGGCTTAATGAGAATCTTTAAGGAAACATAATAGTAAACTTTTCAAAACTAAGAGAAGAGACAATATCTTCAGACTATATATCATCAGAAAAGCTAAACAAGGTATCTGTGAAAACAAGAAGTATTTGTAACACCTGTGTGCAATATACAAAGCAAGGAAGGCAGTTCAATACGGGATAACATGAAAACAATTCACATCATTTCAGCTGTTCTCATTATGTATGGACAATTTCTGTACATTTTGATTTTATTCTCTCTGCATTTGTAAACCATATTTTTTCAGAGCTGAGAATTTCCCCTACTAACTGTCTGGCCTTACCACACTAGGGAGGGAACAGAAGCGTAATGAGTAATTCATAGCATAGTTCAAAAGTTGCCATTTGAAGAGGAAAAGAGGAACTCACCTGCATATGCAAATGATTTATTTCTATAATGATTTTCTTTGTGCCTTATTCTGTCTGTTACTTGTTCAGAGGATGAGAGATGTGTGAGTAAAAGAATGAGCTGAATCTCTGACACATTTTTACACTGTATATAATTATTTGTTTGTGGTTGTATCATGTACTCGAAGTTCATTAAGACGTTGGTGACGCACTTGTTGCTCATGCCAACAAGACTGGTTCCATACTCTGAACTGTAGTAATCTAGGCAAAATTATAATAAACAGCTTTAATATAGTTTTTTGTTTTTTTTCTTTTTAAAATCTAAGGTGACGTTCTGTACAAATAGATGATAGAATATAATACTTACCTTAAAAGATAAGTTTCAAGGTAATTGCCCATACAAATACTGAATTATCTTCTTTCCATATAATTAGTTAAATAAGGATAATGGAAAATGGCCATTCAGTAAGAAATCTATCACAGAAAAAGATACTTTTAAGATGATTTTCAATACAAATGTGGCATAAACTTTTGTG